TCTAAACCCAGCAGACTTCTGGCAGTTCTCTGCTGATGTGCTGTTCCAGTCATTTTTGGATAATCTTCAGTAGAATCTTGCTTGCACGTGAAATCAATGATATTGTTCTGTAGTTTCCACACTCAGTTGGGTCACTTTTCTTTGGAATGGAAACAAATATAGATCTCTTCAGGTCTGGGAGTGCGTAAAATGAGATAGTAGTGGGGGTGGGGGGGAGATGGTGTAAAGGAGTGTGTATGGATTGAGAACTATTGGAATGAGTGATATCATGACTTGACTTATGGCTTGGAGGTCCTGGACTTGGTGATAGCTTCCATTCTCCTTCCTGACGGCTGGGATTGCTGTATTATAGGGAGAGTTAGTGGATCTGAAAAGACCTTTAGAGAGTTTTTGTTATTTGTCATCAAGTTGAAACCTACACACAATTGATCCTCCAGTGGGCAAATTGTACAGGAGGAGGATGCCCATCCTTCTTCCACAGAGGAGCTGGTGCATCCAAATCATGTGCTGTGGGGACTGTAGTGTACCTAGGTCATCAGAGCTGTCCTTTAGAGAGCAGTGAGTTTATAATGGGCCATAGGCCATGCAGGGAAGCAAGGGATAGACGATATTGAAAATTTTTAGGCTATATGGTAGAGTCTTTTTTGTAGTTGTATACAAACAGGGAATAATATGGGCAACTGACTGTATGCTTGTGTCCTAGACCATAAGGGAAACTTGAGAATCTATTTCAGCTGTGATAGTGGAACAAGGATCCGTTTGGGCAATGGTGAATGGCTGAGATCACCCTATTATCTAGAGGATGAGGAGAAAGAGGAGGACAAGGGATGAGGCAAGCTAGAAGGACAAAGAAAATGAGATGGTAGTGTTAAATTTAGGCTAAATATCTCTGCCTAGGATTGGAGTTAAGCAAATCGGCATTATTAAAGAGTGTGGAAAAGATGCATTATTGAAAAGATATGTTACTAGAAGGTTTCCGTGTAGGTTGGCTGGACAACTGTTCACGCTCACAGCTAAGACTTGGGGTGGTAGAAAAGGGCCAGGGCACTGTCAAAAGGTTGAGCAAGAGGCCTCTTTGTCAAGGAGGAATGAAACTGACTTACCTTTTTCAATAGAGTTACTATTGTTGCTGTATCTAATAGCCAATGGAGCCCTGAACATGGGCAGCCTTGGTCTTTAATCACTGCCAAGGAGGGTGGGCTGGTCTTGGGAGGATGATCGTGGGTCCTCATGGATTCATGAGTAGTTCATAGCTCAGTGTCTATTCTACATTTGTGGAAGGGTTTGACTGTAGAAAAAGGTTGGGACACTTTCCCCCTCCATTTTAAACAAGAAGTTTATTTAAACAACAAGACGTTTGACTTGAAGGCTAAACTATCTAGGATTCATTTCGTTTAGAGTAATTTACCCCTGCTTAAAGACAGATTGCCCTATATGTACCAGCTATGTACAAAAAGTTATAAAATTGTTCTTGGTTTTACAATGATAAGTGAAAAACATTAAAAACCTCCAATCAAACAAGGTATATAAGGATTTTTTATTAAACAGTGAGAACAAAATAACTTATTGGAATATAAAGAGAAGAGCTTAATGACCATGCCACTTAGGGAGAAATGGGGTATTTTCACAGAACCAGTATTTTTCCCCATCCCATCTCCACTAGATGTTTATCAAAACATACCATTGGCCGTTTAGTTTATATAAAAAACCAAACAAAACAAACCTGCAATATGCATGTGCACGTGCACCAGTTACTTTATGTACAATAAAAGGATAGGGTAGGGGAAATGAAAGAAGAGAGAAAACTATGCTGTAGTGGTCAGCATGTGCTGGAACCCAATTGTGGTTTTCTAATTGAGAATGTATTCTTGGTCTGCAGGAACAGCATTCTGGAGTAAAACCGCAGGCTCCTCTGTGTTTATTTTAGAAGACACCTTCTGTCTGCTGCTGGAACACATCAACTGTATCTTCATCCTCCATTTTCAGCTGTGCAGGTGTACTTGATTCTTTGACTGGCTGTCCGTCAAATCGGAATCTGATCTGCCTCATTGACAAACCCTGTCATTCACAATAAGCTTTCATTAGTTTACTAAGTGGTGTATGCCTCTTAATCTTAAACTGCACCACAGAACCATCCTGTCCCGTCACCTTCAAATTAATATGATCGTTGTTCTCAGTCTTGACTCCTTCCTTGGGTTTCTCGTTGGCCATGGCTAGCGCTGGAGTCTCCTGAGCAGCAGCTTCACCAAAGAGGTACCAGGTCCACACCGAATGAGCACACAAGCAGCTCCAGGAGCGGCAGAAGAAGGTGGTGTCAGTGGTGGAGGAGGGAGAGCGGGACACTCTTTTGTCCTGTGTCCAGTCTTGACACCCTGAAAACACAGGCCAGGAGGGAAACCTCTGGAAGGCTTTGGGGACTTTACATGATCTCTAGCCATTTTATTGGCATAATTAATAGCCATAGTCATCATTTGGGTCTTTGCGCGATCATATTTATGCCCCTCTCCTTTTTTTTCTGTTTCCAAGCAACCTCTTTTGCAGCTTCTTTGGCTTTGAAAAACCTTGAAAGTGACATTCATTAGCATTTCAGTGGGAAGTTAAGGCTCATCATCTAATTTCTTTAGTTTTGCCTGTATGCCAAGGGCTGCTTGAGAGCTGATGGCTGTATTTAAAATAAGTTTGCTTTTTTCTGAGGTTTAATCTAGTGTGAGCTATGAGGGTTAGTCTTCTGTTGGCCTGGATTTGGACTGGGCTAGACTTTCTTGAGGTTCTTGGTAGACCTCTCTGAATTTATTGATGTTAACTACTTTGAGGGATGACTGGACCAGACCTCTCAAAATGTGTTCAAGAAAACGTTATTGTTTCTGTGTGCCATTGAGTTGGAACTGACTTATAACTGACCCTCCAGTGGGTTTTCAGAGGCAGTAAATTGCATGGGTGGTTTTGAACTATATGTTTTCAGGATTACAGTGTAGTTTCTTATCACTTGGCCACCAGAGCTCCCTATTCAATAAAATAGGTGTGCTTACTCTAGTTGGGATGTTTGGGATAGACTGTAGGGACTGTGCCAAGCGGTAGGATCTGATCAGTGGTGTGATTTTCATCAGCTCTCTGCCCTTTAGTGTTCCATACCCTCTCTCTCTTCAGAAATTAGGCAGGTTGTAAGAATAGTGTGAATATCATGCCAGTTCATATGACTGAACTAAATACCTAAACTCTTATGAACTGGGTGAGGTTGGTAAAAAATGAACCTTGGCAGTTTTCTATCTGTGATAGATTGCTGAGTGAAAATGAAGCATAAATTCAAAAAACTCTATTTGTGCCTGCATCTTTGTGAAGAGGGAAGAGGCCAAAGGAAGCAGACTCTGGGCTGTTGTCTTGCTGGACATAGGAGAAGGTTCAGGGAGGGGAAGTTGTGGGTGGCTTGGGTAGATGTCTTCTGAGGGTGAGAGGTTGACTTTTGTGGCTCCAATACCAGGATCAGGGTCTGGGAGTAGGGCAATGGGAGGCAGGAAATCATGGGTTGGTGTTTCCTGAGGAGATGGAGAGGCCTTTTGTAACTAACTGAGGGTCTCAGATGGTCCAGGAATGGAACATGCTGTTGACACTAGGATTGAAATGTCTCAAAGCCAGAGATTAAGAGTTAGCCCACGTGAGCTGCCGCTGCCTACTCCTTTTGAGGGAGTAAGGCTGAGGGAGCTCTGTCAGCTAAAATGGTCCATGTTCCCAGGTTTCAGCACCAGATGATAAACTCAAGACCACTTAATTCAAAGTACAAGAAATTTATTGGCTGACCCCCATTAGCACAAACATGCAATTATGCTGGGGTGGTCGAAGCAAGTAACTTATAAAGGGGAAGTTGGTGCAGAGTGGAGAAGGACTGGGGTGTGGGATACACTAGGCAGGAACTTTCCACAAAAGACAGATGTTTTACAGGTTATGGGACAATTCTGGTCACCAGGTAAGGGGGAGTGGACATGGTCCAGGCACAGTGGAGTAGAAAGCGGCCAGGAACAAGGGAATAGAAAGAGGTATTGGTGTAAATTATGCTTGTTAAGCAGAGGGAGAGGAGGACAGCCTGTGATTATGGGAATGGGTCGGGTTCCCATTCAGGTTTTCCTGCTTCTTTCGGATGAGATAGGTGGGAAATCTCTTCCTGTGTGGTTACTGCCATTAACAACCTGATGGAGGTCAGCTGCGAGTCAACTCTGACACTAGAGAAATACTACTTACCATTTCTTCCCCTAGGAAAAAACAAATCCCTGGAATTACAAAGCTTGGAGAAATACCATGAAAGAATTTATTATGCAATTACTGTTCAAGAGGATACACAAAGCCAGTAGGATGGTGAATGTAAGAAATGGGTCAGGACCAGGGTGGTTGGGGAAGATTACATCTGATGCAAGTATTAGTGCTCAAGCAGAAATAGGGCTGCATTCCACCTCCAACTGTTCCTTCTGATTCTTTTCCTAAAAGAAAAGGAGAGAGGATAAGATAACCGCCAAGCAGGAAAGGGTACTTCCTCACAGCCAGACTGGCGTGGCTCTAGAGCCAGCATGAGTCCAACATCAGCCTCATTACACTTGATGAAGGGTGTCTTGAAAGCCTAGCAGGACATTTTGAGGGTCACCTAGTGGGAAATACTGTAGCTCTAGGTTTGGGTACTGCTTGACCAGCACAGTATCACATGTGATTCATTAGGACAGACTCTTTACTCCTCAAACCTTCACTTCTTGTTTCTTGAGCCTCTGAAGCTATTGTGTTACCCAGACACATAGAGACACACTTTTAGGACTTACCTCCTCAGCTAGGAGTCTTCTCCAGCAGCACAAGCACATGCAGACCAGGGGAGCCAAGGGAGCTAACGATGCCACCAGCAACAGGACCCAGATACCCAGCAGTGTGAACTGGAGGCCTCTGAACAGGGCCTGGGGATAGAAGACCACAGCCATATGCAGAATGTGGACTGTCATTCCTGCTGTGTTCTTTCTTATTCATCACTGACATAGGTATGCTCCACCCTTTTGTACCACACCATTGGGCCTCTAGTTCTCAACTGTCAGTCTTGTGCTGGCTGTGAGTGACTCCTTGACAGCTTCTAGAATTTGCAAAGATTGAGTGGGGAGCCCAAACTTCATACTCTCACTTCTCTTTCCCAGTGCTTTGAATATCGACGGCATTCTTTCCTTACTATGTTTTTTACTAGTCTGTAGGGGCCTAACCACCAGAAGTGTTCTTGCTCATGCTGCATCTCTGGTCCCAATGACCTAGTTGGTGTCAAGTGGATGGCATACACTGTTGCTGGAGAGGTCTCTGTCTGCTGGTAGCTACTTCTGCAGCCCACTCACCACCAGCATGTCCATGTAGGCAAGGCACAGGTGCAATCTTCTGTCTTCTTCTGGACTCATTGTGCTGGGGGGAGGAGTGGGCCATCTCTGTCTTGAAGGATCACTACAGATGTAGTCTCCATCATTGAAGGGGACCCAGTAGAGATAATCAGCTCCAATTTTAATGGCAGCAACAGCTGTGGAGAAAGCTGTCAGGGCAAGCAGGGTCCTCAGGAAGCGCTGTGGAGTAAAGACAGAAAACAATGTAGTAATAAATTCATTGTTTTTCATTGCTGCATACTATTTCATTGTGTGAATATACCATAATTTTTCTATCTATTCATTTGTTGATGGGCACTTGGCTTGCTTCCATCTCTTTGCTATTGTGAATAACACAGCAATAAGTATGGGTGTACATATATCTACTTAGGTGGTAGATCTGTTTTCTTTGGGGTATATTTCCAAAAGGGGAATTGCTGGGTCAAATGGTATTACTATTTTCAACTTTTTGAGAAAGCACCAAACTGCCTTCCATAGTGGTTGTACAATTTTACATTTCCACCAACAGTGAATAAGGGTTCAAATCTCTCTACAACCTCGCCAGAATTTATTGTTTGCTATTAGGTTGGACTTTGCTTTTGTTAGTGGAGTGAGATGATATCTCCTAGTTGTTTTGATTTGCCTCTCTCAGATAACTAGGGATTTTGAACTTGTAAAACATTACACAGCATGGGTGACCCTGGAGGACATTATGCTGAGTGAAATATCTCAGTCAAAAAGGAGCAAATACTACATGGTGCCACTATTATAACGCAGGTCTGACATGAGGGGTTGGGAGGAGAATAGGATAAGAGTGGATAGATAATGACAATTGCATTGGAATGGATTAAAAAAAAAGATTTGTCTAAAATGAATATATGATTAGGCATTATACATATGCCAACAGCCCAGAATAAGATATATGTTATTGCAAAGAGGACTGGGGTGGAGCAGGGGAGAGGTAGGTTATTGTACAACAATGAATGAATATGAAAAAAATAGTGAACTGGGGGGAGGGGAAGGGAGAGGAAGGAGGCAAAATGAGCAACAATGAATGAAAATCCAATGTCTCTGTAAATTTTCATTAAAATCACAACTATAATAAAACTTCATTTAAAAGAAAAAAGAAAACACTGTAATAAGTTAATAGGCCCTCTTGGGGAGGCTGTGACTGGGCCAAGTGGAACAGGCATGATGGGGAAGGAAGCTTGGGGTGATCCAACTTACCCAACAGCGACCACCACGCTTCTCTTTAAGGAAGGCAGTAGCTCCAGCCAGGACAGACTGGGGAGAAATGAAAGCAGGAAAAGGATGAATGCAGGAAGGGCAGCTTCCCTCATCATCCCCTTCTCTTTGTTCACCTGGGCACTCATCAGGTCCTTGCCCAGCAGGCTGCTGCCACAAGGTTGAGGGTTTAGGGCAGGGATGACCTGAGGCTGCAGGACACTGCTACAGCAACGTGTAAAGTGCTTGCAATCAGGACCAGCTTGAGGTCTTCATCACCATCTTTAAAGCAGCTCCAGGGGCTGAACATTCAGAAATTTCAAGGCCTGAGGTCTTGTGGGTAGAAGAAAACCCCCTGTGTCTGTGAGGAGGCATGTGTCACGGGACCTGAAGAAGCTCTCAGCACAGCTGGATGAAACTTTCTGGAGGTATATTGTCCCTGGATGGATGAGTACCCTCTCCTTAATTGTGTGTTTTGCTATTGTAAAGTACTGGTGTATTTAAAGGTCCCTCAGTGCTCCATGACCAATGCACCAAGCTCCTATTGCAGAATGAATACATGTCTAGCAGCTGACATTAGTTGATGTTGGTAAGTGGCATCCCTGGCACACTCACTGGGAGGAGGATGTGAGCAGGCACTGGGAGGTGGCCTGGAGGGATGGCACTTTCTTGTGCAGTGTATGCTCTCCAGCCTGTGCTGCTTCTCTGCAAGCTTCTGGGCTCAGAATTCAGGTCCCCAGAGACTACGTCTCTCTACCTCCAAGGGCTACTCAGCACTCACTTGTCTGAGTTGCTCCTTGACCCTTGTAATGAAATCTTCAGAACTGGAAGAAAAGGCCAGAACACCTTGGCACCAAATGAGACCCTTTGCCTCATCTTCTCCCTTCACTTTGGAGTCCAACCCTCTGTCTGATGTTCCTTCCCTTCTGAGCAAGGTCTGAGAAAATTTAGCAGTAAAAATTCCCTGTAAAATAGGGAGGAAGATTTGGAGGGATGGTCCTGAAGACTGCACTGGGGCAATAGAATCTCTCAGGAAAATGAGATGATAAGAAGGTGGTTGTGTGTGGGTGGTGGAAAGAGGCTGCAATGTGTTGGGAAAGCAGTGGCTGGAGATCAGAGGCTGGCTGACCACTGGGCATGTGGCTTCACTCTCTTTAGCTGTATTTCTTCTGTAAAGAAGAGAATTGGATATTAATTCTTTTTGACTGCTAGCATCCTCTCTTTTCATTTCTAATGCTCTCTTTTTGATCTCTAACATTTCATGACACAGTGCTGGTGGCAATGAAGAAGATAATAATTACAGTGCAGGGGATTAATTAATGGGACTTTTCTGGCCATTGTCTTTGTAACTCCTTCCAAGCGTTCACTCTCTCATAGCTGTTGAGTTAGTACCAAATCATTGCTGACCACTCATTGTATTTTCTGATACTGTAAATTATATATGGGAGCTCCAATGGTGGAGATGCTGGTGGATTTGAACAGCCAGAGAGATTTGCCACATTTGAGTTGGCAGTGGAATTCTCTATAGATTATTCCACAAGAACTTTCTTGCTGTTAAGTGCTGAGCTGTGGAGTCTACTCATAGTGATTCTTTGAATAACAGATCTGAACCTTACTCTATTGTGTGCCATTCTTATTATCTCATATACTTGAGTCCATTGATATAATCACTGTGTTGATCCCTCTTTTTGAGGGTTATCCCCTCCTTTGCTCACCCTTGACTTTTTGAAGCACAATGTCTTTTTCCAAGGGCTGGCTTGTGTTAACTACACACCTAAAATGTGTGAGATAAACTTTCACCACCCTTGCCTTCTAAGGAGCACTCTGGCTGCACATATTCTGAAAGCTTTTCTATTATTGTTGTTGTTGTCTAGTCAGCATCAGCTCATTGCTGACCCTACAGTGGCTTTACAGAGGCAATAAATTGCAAGGGAGACTAGTGTCCCTCCTTCCTTTGTGGAGCAGCTGGTGGATTCAAACTGTGTGCCTTTGGGATTGCAGCACAGCTTCTTAGCACTAGTCCACAAGAGCTCTCTTGTTGTTGTTAAATGCCATAGAACTCCCTTGCTGTTATGTGCAATTGAATCAACTACAATTCATAGCAACTTTATGAACAATGTCTTTCAGCCTTGCCCTATCCTGAGCCAACCTCACTGTCTCTGACACACATGACACCATTGCCACAGTCACTGTGTCAACCCATCTCATCCAGGGTCTTCCTCTTCTGTACTGATCCTCTACTACTCCAAGTGTGATGTCCTTCTCCAACGACTGGTCCCTACTGATAACATACCCGAAGTATGTGAGATGGAACGTCAAAATCCTTGCCTCCTAATTCTTGCCTCACCCTCTCTGGGACAGAGCTATTTGTTCTCCTGGAAGTCCATGGTATGTTCAGTACTCTTCTTCACACCACAACTCAAAGGCATTGACCCTTCTTCTGTTATCCTTACTCATAGTCCAGCTCTCAAATGCATAGCAAGCAAT